ACCCACTAGCCGGTACTACGCCAAGTGGAAACGCAACCAAAAACGGGCAGTGCACGGCACGGCACGGCACGCTTAAACCGCGCTGTAGTGGAAATGTGCCATAAGAAGATATCCTGTGGGGGAGAGACATTTGGGATTTGAGCCTTTGCAGACCATTTACATACACATACATACATGACACACTGCAGGAAAGGGAAACCCCCAAAAACATAATAGGGCCTTTTTAAATCTTTGTTGAAATTGCTCCAACATGTAGAAATATGCTGTATGTCACAACAAGGGGTCCACATCCTTGTTTTCAAAATAAAATAAAAAATGCAATTTGACCCATGGTGGTGATTCAGGCTGACTTTTTGAAGCCATTGGTTCGAAATGAGATGTGACACAAAGCTGGATGTGGCGCAGTTAGTTACACAGTTACTGGGTAAAAGGAAGGGGTTAACACATTGTTTTTGCACATGTGTGTGTGTTTGTATCGGTGCCAATAAGGGGACCCTGCAGGGGGGAGGGGTGTCCCAGAAATTGCCAATTGCCCTTCACCCTTCCCCCCAATGTTGGGCACCCACATGGACAATGACAGACCAGAAGAGGAGGAGGGAGGGGATGGAGAGACGCCAGCATGCCCCCCGGCACCCAGATGATCCTGCTGCATTGTCTCTGTGCAGATCCATTTAACTAGTATCAGTTGAGAAAAGATCCTGGATTACCACAGCTAGGGCTGAGTGTGCATATTCACAATATCAGAATAAATATCCTTTATGAGTCAAACAGTGGGGGAACGTTGATACAGCACAGGGGACAGTGCAGATAAAAAGGCAAATACATTTACTATAGCATCATTTAAATAATAAGCATTGGTGGAAAGTCAATTTAGTCAATACTAAAGTATAATTTTGAGGTACTTGTATGAGTATTAGAGGCTATTTGACACTTGTAGTTACTTTTACATTAAAAAACGTGGTGTGGGTTAGACATGTTACTGCATTACTAAACTATTAAAAGTGGGGTAGGTAATTTTGGAAAAACCAGTTCGAGTGCGCGACAATTTGAAAGTACACAACCGGAAAAAATCTGCCTCTTCCTTACAGAGCCCCTCCTCCAACACACACAAAACGCGCACATGACCAATGAGGGTACGAGATAAGTTTGTGCACAGATGGAAGGCTGACAGGCAGGTAGGCCATCCAATCATTTTAGCCGCCCGTGCTTTTTACAGCACCACGGCTTCCACAGATGACATTTTTTAATGTATTTATTGTCAAAGCATTTCATGTATTCATTGCTATCGGGATGTTAAGAGCATTCCATGGAATATAACAAAAACTGTTTCTGAAATAAATTACATACCCCAGCTTTAAGTAGTACAAAAACTAATCAAACTGTGCTCCACATTGACGAAATTCAACATAAAGAAAACACTCACATGTATTTGTTAGTGATACAAATATGGTACTATACTTTTATTTATTTTTAGGTGAAGGATCTGGGTACCTTACACATTTGCAATACATACACATGTAACAGCATTAAACATTATAAAATAAATATTTTTAGATTATAAGAGTTGGAAAAGTTTAGTTTTTCTGGGTTTTGGTTAGCTTGTAATGATTCTATATAATACATGAACTCTTTCCAATTCTAGATATTTTATTGATATATATTTTAAATACTTTATGTTTAGTGTTTTGAAGTTTGTTTATATATAAAGTCAGTGAGGTAGGTAGATTGAAGCATCCAGTAAATAACAATACCAAACTGTAGAAAAGTGTAAATTGCAGTAAATAGTCTTTAAGGAAAACTTCTCCTCTTCACACACTAACACACACTGAACTGAACATCCCGCCACGTCTCCATACGCTTCGTCGTCCAGACCTCTCCTTTCCCCCCCGAGGCTGAGCTGATTAACAGTAATCGGGAACAACAATGCATGATAATGTGAATCATAATGGGCCAATGGAGGCGGCCTTTGGCCCCGCGCTCCATATGAGTCCAATGGCACAGTAATGGTGTACACAGGCCCTGCAGGGACACGCCAGACAGAGACAGAAGCAGCCAGACTGTAGGTTAATGTAAATGGAAAGGACGTGGAAGGCCTGGGGGGGGTCGTCAACATGGTGTACACACAGAAAGAGATGAGGAAATGAGTTTATTTTGAACTGTAAATACACTCATGCCTGCCAGAGTACACACATTAATGCAATTAGGTCACTCTGTACTGTACATTTTATATTTTTATGCATAAAGAACGAGTGGCATTCAACCTGAAAACACGTTTCTGGTTTGTAAAAAGCCGATATCTGAGAGATTAGGTTTTTTCTTTAAAATAGCAGCCAAGTGGGGACAGGGTGTTTTGTTTTTGCAGCAGTTATTGCCTCCTCCTCTCTCCTCACCTCCTTTTGGCGGCCAGCTGTTGTTCAGCCAACCACGTCTTTCCCCTCCGTCTCTCTCTCTCTCTGGGGGGGAGTTACAACCAGACCAAGATGAGTTGGGAGTTGTGGAGGAGAGTTTTAAGTTTGGGGGAGCCTTTTAACACATCATAATGAGAAAGTAGTATGTATGATGCTGAGAAAGCTTTTGACCAAATAGAATGGGCATATCTGTTTTACACGCTCAACATTTTTGGCTTTGGGCCCAAGTTGATTAGCTGGGTTAAGGCTTTGTATAGCGCTCCCTTCTCTTCTGTTAGAACTAATGGGTTAATCTCAAAACCTTTCCCCTTACACCGTGGTGTGAGGCAAGGGTGTCCTGTTAGTCCCCTACTTTTTATTATGGCTCTAGAACCATTAGCCTGTGCAATTCGCGCTAATGGTGACATACATGGTGTGAACATTCATGGACAAGATTTCAAATTAAATATGTACGCTGACGATATACTTCTTACTTTGAGCAAGCCAGCACTCTCTATACCCGCAGTTCTTGATATGATACATTTATTTGGAAGCTTCTCTGGATATAAGATAAATTGGAACAAGAGTGAAGCAATCCCACTTAACTCATATACATATAAACACAACCTAATGAGCACCCCCTTTATTTGGAAAACAAATGGAATGAGGTATTTGGGAATTAACATCGTCTCTCCTATCTCTAAAATCTTTAGCCTTAACGGCCCTGCTATTTTCCAGTCCATTAAGGAGGACATCAACAGGTGGATGGCCATACCACTTTCTCTATGGGGCAGAGCAGAAACCTTGAAAATGAATGTTCTCCCAAGGCTTTCTCATATTATCTCCTCTATCCCTCTTGAATTCCCACTAAAATGGTTTAAAGATATCAAATCCCTATTCACTCAGTTCCTTTGGAATAATAAAAAACCCAGAATTGCACATAATAAGTTGATCATTCCAAGATCAATGGGAGGTTTGGGAGTCCCAGATGTATTCCAGTATTATCTGTCCTTCAATGCAAAGTATCCATTATCGTGGGCGTACAAAAGTGCCTCTTCGGTAGGCAGTTGGCAATGGCTGGAGCAATCCATCATGTCTGTAAACCCAAACATATCTCTGGCATCAATGTGGTAACTGCCCAAAACCCACCACCCCTCAATGGATAATACACCATCATCCGCTTTTCATGCTCTATTGTAAAGCCAACTGCACAGGAGACTCAACATAGAGGGGCTCTCTTTACCATCTTGCCCCATTTGGAGTAACCCCTGTATTTCTGCAGCGAGGAGGCACTCTTAAGTAATTAAATATCTTGGCCAGAAGGCTGGATTACTTACAATTGGACAGATATAATAGGAGGAACCAAACCCTTCCCATTTCAACCAACTTTCAAAATTCAGTATGGTCTCTCAGGCTCATCTTTTCTATCATATGCAACAACTTAGCATCTATTATTAGTACAAAAATGTAAGGAGGGAGCCCATGTGCCTGCTTCATGTATGGAAGAGGACAGCCGCGCTTCAACAAGAAGCATCATAATCATCCGGTGTAGTCTCTAACATTTATAAATAGAGATGTCCCGATCCGATCACGTGATGGGGATCGGAGCCGATCACCTGTTTTCAAAAGATCGGAATGTGGGGAATAAAATATCTTGTGGATCTAGGGATTGCTAATGAAATTTTTGAAGTCAGAGTTATCTTTTTTTTACATTTTGTAATTCAGATGATACAGAATCAAAATGACATGATCAAGTCTTAAAGTCATCCTGAGTCCTTAGTATTGGTTTCAAAATACAAGAACTTATGTGGCATGTATGTCACGTATTGTTTGACACTTTCTTTGGGGATGCCATTGTTTTCATAGACCTGGTCAGAAGTAAATATGCTTATGTCTCTCAAATCTGGACAGAGTCGGCAGGGCGCAGTGTCTATGTGTAGCAGTAAGCCTAACGAGGTGCTGAAAGCATTATTTTGTTTCGGATCTGGACAATGCTGCAGCAACTAGAACTGATCCTATAATGCTGCTGTGAAAGAAAGAGCTGTATCCATGTTGGATAGAATATCCATTTAAATAGAAAAAATAACCTTAAGGGACAACTTGAATGCTTTTTTCTCTCTTAATGCATTGCATATAAGATCGGATCGGGAAAATCGTATCGGCAAATGTCAAAAATCAAATGATCGGATCGGATCGGGAAGCAAAAAAAGGTGATCGGGAACATCCCTATTATAAATTATTATCTAGGGCTGCCCCGAATGCAAATTCTTCCTGTCCAACTGTCTTGGGAGCATGCCTTCGCGAATATCTCTACTGTCTGCTTTGCAATGGAAAACTCCATTTGGCAGTCAGCTATGTTCTCTTTCTAAATGTGTAAAGATTCAGGATCATACGTTCAAAAATTCTAAATAGAGCTTACATCACCCCTGTTACCAAAATCCAAGATGGTACACATAAACACAGAGACTTATGCTGGCATGAATGTGGCAAGCGAGGTAAATTGTTGCCCTGGGAATGCCCAGCGGTAAAAAAACTTTGGTCCGAAGTAAGTATCCCTTATTGTCTGAAATCTTTAAAAAGTTAGTTTCCCTAGATTGTCCCATTATGCATGGTCTACTGGGTCTCCAAAGGGCCGATGGCAATCTTGCAAGGGGAACTACCGGATCGGCTCTGGACATTGGGCTGTTTAAGCCACAAAAAGAACTCATCCTATAAAAACTGGAAGAACGCAAACAGCCTGCTTTACTAGAACTCATGGCTGAGGGAGTTCTGGACCTACTGAAACATGGAGCGTGCAGCTTCTCTGCTGGGGGATTTTGAGGGGAGACAGGAGGATTGCGGTTCACTGTCCGCAGCTCTCCTATCTAACCTGTCCATAGGGCATCTCCTGTGTAATGTATTTAATGTTTGGTAGGAAACCCTGCAGTGCTGAACTGGGAGAGACTCAACAAGGGGATTGTTGGGGGAAGCGTTGACCCTAGTTAGCCGGATAGGGCGGGGAAGAAAAGGGGGTGGGGTTTACAAGTGACCGCGAAGAGGGTCAAGGCTACGGCGGGAGAGCTAGTGAGGGATTCCGAGAGAGCTAAGAGGACAATACCGCTACCTATCTTTTGTTGTTTTGGGCAGTCTTCCAACCCCGGGGTTAGTCTGTTTGTAGGGTAAATTAACCCGGTAAATTAACAGCCATCGTGGTCCTCTATTTAAGTAGTTAGTCACCCGTGCGGGCGGACGCCGCGAACGCTACATTGGTCGTCTGAGAAGTGGGATCTCCCGGCCCTCCAGTTCCCCGCACTACTACAGTTGGCTAACTACGCTTAGCATCGCTAGCCACCGGCGGAGGACCGAGATGGCTGAGACACGGTGTGAGAACACGGACTTTATATGCCCCATACACCCCAGGCAAGAAACACACACGGAGGAAGCCAACCAGCGATGCACAGGTGGTAAGGAAGAGAAGAAAAAAAAAACACCTACTCACCCCTTGCTACACTGCTGACGGACTTCCGGGAGGAATAAAAGGAAGTCCGGTTAAGTTTGCTGCAGCCAACCGGATTGCTGACTGAAGAGAGCAGATGTAAACCAAGACAGCGTTGTGGACCGGCTTTCCGGTGGAAGCCCAACCAAAATTCTATCCCGGAGTTGAGAAGAGACATAACGGCAAGTTAAATGGGTGGCCACAAAAATCTAATCCCGGAGTTGGGAGAAAGACATACAGGAAAGTCTAAGAGAACGTTTTATGCAGAAAATGAGCCATTCGTAAGGGAGCATGCTTTGGAAATGTCTATATAACTCAAATAGTGGACATTAAATCCATGAGGGAGGGGAGCCAAGATGTTGGGGCTAACACTCATGAGGCCCTATTGGCAATTAAATTCTAACCATGCTACTGACAATGACAGTGTGAGCTGAAACTGCTAACGTTATGAGATGGATGCTCATATCACTGTTGATGTCCCATGCCCAACAGACATTTCCCCACCCAAGTACATGTAATATTAGAAATACCTACATCCATATGGACTCGGCCAAGGTCTCCCTGACTGCGGGCTAGGATAGTCCCTCTAATACCAACTCTTCTATAATATGATGTTTGGGTGAGCTGTGTAAGAGGGCCTATAGTTCCAACCTCCCATGGGGTGAATAGCCTTTCGACACCACATTTGCTTAGATTTTGCAAATGAGTATTTGATTTAACTCGGGACACTCGGGTGTATTCTTGTGGTACATATTTCTTCCATATGCCTCACAGAGTGCGAAGCTTATGGGATCGTTGTATATTTCTTTTCACTATAACGGTTACTCCTCAGGTAATGGGAATGGGACTCATCTTCGTTCGTTATCCAAGCTATAATCTAACCTATAGAGTGGAATGGGCCTGGATTGATTAGGTTTCCCTGGGTCGTCGAGTGAGGCTAGGATTGCCGACCCGTTGTTTACTACTCAGCTAGAACCTACACGAACCCCCCTGGTTCCGATTCCTGGCAATTAGGAACAACAGAAGTTATTTATATGACCCTCAGGGAATAGCACATCAAACCCCAGAAGTCCCAAATTTAAGTACTGAGTCCACTCTCCTGTCCTCCATCCAAGAACATACAACCATTGTGTAGCTTACTACCTGATGCATATGGAGGGGTCCAACCTCGGCTTAGCCCTCTACTACCCAATTAACAAGAGCCCAAACCAGCGGAACCCAAAATATTTTCAACCAGCCGCACTGAACCACATTCCTTATAGAAAACACAAAGAAAATTCTCACCACACTCTGAATGAGTGTACTTGTAAAGAGTGCTAAGGATACATTGGCCTCTTCTGAAAACCCCATGCTACGCCCTCTCATCACTCCACCCTCCCCTGTAAGCGCTATAGGTGGAAGCAGCGGCAACTTGTGATGGATATGTATGAACCATCTCCCACCAATGTAATAATAGAGAGTGTTAGGAATCTGTTGTGTCAGAGGGGGGCCATGTGGTGAATTTCCCGACCGAGATGGAAACAACCCTTTCCGGCTCCCAGGGGTGGTACTTATGTTTGTGAGGGGCCCAAGTGCTAAAGGGGGTACTTGATCGGTTCGGACACCTGGCTACATTTTATGAATGTGAGGCTCACCTTCTATGGGAAACGTACTTGGGGCTCACAGAGTATCAACTTCCTAGCTTGACTGCGAATGGCTGGTCCCCTGCAAGGAGAGCAGTCCATTTATATTCCGTCGCCCATGGAAGTGATGTCTTGTAGATAAAGTATATCTACTTCGAAATGTGACGGAACTGTAACGTGTTGATCTCGATGGATACTCTAGGATCCCAACTAGGCTTTATAAATCTCAGGTAAAAAGCA